GCTGCCAACTATCTTCGCAGATCGCCACCGAAGAAATGGCTCGAGGAACTAGCTTAGGCTAGCAACAAGGCTGGCCAGGGAGTTGGCCACTGTCACCGCAAACTTGAGAACCATCTCTCGACAAAACCTGCAATGCAAGAACGGCTAGAGCGCATGTAAGGTCAATTAGCCAACTCCTCACAAAACGAGGAGGTTGTTCTACTATAAAAAAGGCGGATGTGAACATGGTTGTCGACTATGCCATCGACCAAATGATTGGGAAGACTGCCTTCTATCGGAATACAGCAGGGCTAATGCGCCAATGAGATTGGCCAGTATCTTTGATAGGCTTGATCTTACAAGAAACAAACAAAAACAACCTCGCATTTTGCCCGCTCAGATCAGACTCCCTCCTATCTCCTTGAGTCGGTCACATCTGTTCAACCCTTTATTCGCCCATAAATATATGCATCCCCCGCCTAGAAATAGACGTGAAAAACGAGCTGCACTAGCTCGGATGCGGGCCAACCAAGATTGACCACATGAGGAGAAAATGTATAAGCTAAGGGAGATGTCCCCTTAAAAACTGGTCACTCCAAGTGAAGTCCTCTTGTAGAAAGAGATGCTAAAACATATAATTATCGGGTCGGGCTCCATGACGTTGGTAAACACAAGCCAACCTTTGCAACAGATCAATGAACCAAGGGCACAAGCCCCATAGAAAAATGATTTGTTGACTTTTCGATCCCATCCAAAAGATGTAGTCGAGAGACGATAGTCTTAAAAACTACCCTTATGAGAAAGACGAAAGGCCTCGCCAAAAAAGATGAGAGCCAATTTTGGCTATCTCAGACTGGCTCCTCTTATGGAAAGAGGCACTAAGGCATATAATTGTCGAGGCCAGCCCTATAACGTCAGTTAATAAGAACTGACCTCTCAACAGCAGCGGTGAAAAGTGCGATCTACTGATGTCTCCAGTCAGAGCAGTTTAGGCATAAGCCTCATAGAATTATATTACCGACGAAAGCTTTGGCTCAAAAAGTAATTGCTGACTCTCCTGTTGATGGGCTAAAGACTTCAACCCTATCCAAGGAGGAGGGTCACAATAGGTCAAAAAAGGCATAGCCCCACCCTACATATAGCCTCAAACCAAACCATGTACTCGTAAAACAGGCTCGTTCAAAGTAGAGGTGAAGATGAAACCATCTCGGTAGAACTGCTAAGTGAAGAAAATGATAAGGGAAAACCCCACAAGGAACCACCCCCAAAATATGCAGATCTTCTTTAACTAACTGGAAAAAAGGATTAAGCATGAGCTGTCCGCTCAACTTCGCGAAATTGAAAGATATACGGTCACAAGTGTCAAGATGTCAGTCGAAGGGACAAGATCCACCATATTGCCTTAGAAAAATATGCACATAACAAGCCAAAGGACTTTAAAAATAGGGACCTCAGCTTCCTTCATGATATAAGCAAAATAGACACCTTCAACACTTCACCTCCTTAATAAAAAACTTAATGTAATTCAGACAACTTCCACGATAGATGCTTGTGAAATTTTTTAAAGTTATTTTGCTTTTAAATCTCCATTATGTGAATATCTATGTCTGAATTTGGGAGATTATTATTAATGAAAGCTAATGTATGACATTATGGGTAGTATACTAGACAACCCATGGCATCATTCTTACCGGCACTGTATACATGTCATTTTACACACACTATTGCCAGGCATATAACCTGGTATGATAGGAATTCTCCATATTACATTTTGAGAAAATGTGAGATGCCATCTATGGGTAATTGAAAGGGCAAAATAGGCCCCTTACCCGTCTGATACATGAATAATGGGCAGGTCTAGTCCACGCTACGTAGAAGACGCTGTCAAAGTCCTCAGCAAAATGCATGGCATTTTCTGGGGCAATTCCTTTGAAGGAATAAAAGCAATTAGCCCAAGAGGCATCCGCTTATAGAGGCACTTCAGAATGTGAGCTCAAAAGAAAATATCGACGAAGGTCAGCCCAAAAGGGGTACCTCGACGAAAGGAGCTAGAACTCAAAGAGGTCCACCTCAGAAGTAAAAATCAGCCCGAGGAGTAGAACAACAATGTAAGTTGGATACTATAAGGACCACCTCCATGAAAAGGCACAAGTTGCTCATAAAAAGATAGAAAAATGGGAGACTACAGCAAAGGAACGACCCTTCCAAAGCACCCTCAACTACAACATATTAATGATTTAGAGTTCAAATCAAACAAAGATTTGCATAAAAAGGTAGAAATTTTATTCATTACTGCAAACACATTACAATCGGGGTAGTCAGCCATTTACAAAGCACTATAAAGCACTTGCCAAAATAATAATAATAATAATTGTATGATAATGACAAAGCACAATCACTACATCAGATGCATAATCCGCTGGACCCTTTTGAGGGACGTCTGCCATATACATCAACCTTTACAATTACGAGGTCTACCGGACCATGTTGAAACTCAAGCTACAGCTAAAATACACTCTACCTAGTAAACTCTGGCAGAGGAAGCGGCCTAGCTGCTCATGGGGAGGTACGTTGGTACCGAACCTTGAGGATCCACATACTGCCGCTCAAGGCACTTCGGATGGAATTCGCATCATATTGCATCATAATTCACTTAAAGCAATGGGCGACCCTCCGTACTTCAGCACTGTTCCTAAAGCGTTCAAAGAAGATTGAGGGGGTTGCAATTTTATTTTCATGAGTCCAAGAATCTAATGCATTACACCCAAGGATCACCCTATTTACACGCTCCATAGCATTGTCCGAAACCAAGTAGACTTTACCAACTCTCCTCAAAATCCACCAAGTATAATTTTGATCATATTATAGAGACACAAGAGAACATGATTTATACAAGAAGATGAATGTTCAAACAAAATGAGCCTTTTATAGGCAAACACATGCATTTTCAACCGTCAGATCTCAAAGATCTAGATCGTCCAAATCCGGGTCACAATAGACGATTCGATGAGTCTGAAGTTTTAGCATCATGGTCCATATCAAAACACGTGGAACGCATTGAAGATAGGGGGCACCGCCCTCCTTGTGAAGGCCAAATGGCAGCATAAAAATCTGTGGTAATAAATGACGGAAGACCTTACCCAAATCATCTCACACAGCATACCACTTCGATTGAAATTCTAACCACTTCGGCAACGGTACAAACCACCTCAAATTTTATATCTAACAACTTCAACATTTATAAACTTCGTCTCTCCATGTACATACTTTAAGGAAAGGCCACTTATTTGTACAAGGCACATGAGCCTCGACCTCAATTCCCGTGGCTATTGACGTACACATTTGGCAGGACTAAAATTCTCATACGAATACTTAAACGATTAGACTTGGGGGACTAACATTACCGCATGGATTTCTTTTCTTCAAAAAAGTCATAAACTCTATGTACCACATGAATGATTATACATAAACTTTGGTGACTATTGTTACTAGTCATATTGTATGGCCACGTGGCAATCATCCAAGTTATCTAAGAACTACAACATCTGAAGTAGTCGCGATTAAATGCTGAGTTCGTTACATTGAGATCAGCCGAGGTGGTCCTGCCCCTGTTTATCTCTTATTGCCAAACTCCCTGGAGTATCCGAGGCCTTTGGCAGGTTCAGCTGGGACGTCTCCTGAATTGATTGAAGCAACATGCCCATTTATTATGTGTCAGAAAAATCAACCTAGATTTGTAGGGTGGTTGACCTCTTGTCAAGAGTCTATGAATGTAATTAATATGAGGTAGAGTTGACATGACATAAAGAGTCTCAAATCAAGCCACGTGGCTCAGATCTAACTGTGACCATGTCGACCCGATCACTATAAATAGATAATTCTTGTATCATTTGAGGAGGATGGATCTCTGAATGAAAGAGAGAACATAATATATCTCTCCCTTACCTTTATCTTCTTTTCCTTCAAACATTCATATTTACAGTAGAAATACTACAAAATAGGTCCACGTGTACATTGTCTTCTAATGACAGCTGTTGTCCATTTTCGAAGGTCAACAGTATCCATTGATTTTAACTAGTTTATGAACCAATTACGATGATTCTGAACTAACATACGAGCCAACACAAAATAATAAAATTCCACAATCTTAAATTTCATTTTCATTAAGTCTTGTTTAGCTGATATTGTCTTCTATATGTCATTGTGGGAAAAATTAATTGTCATATCATTGAAATTACAATGGAAGAAGAGAGGACAAATGAGGAACTACGTTCAAATAAGTACTTTGTAAATTTTTTTGATAACTCGTTACCTTTCTAAATCAAAAGCAAAAGTTGTTGTCATTTAGGCATCGCTATTGTCCCATTTGGTTTTATTAAAAATCAAAATTTATTAATTTTGATAGAAATTAATAAAATATGTAATTGAAAAAACATAAAAATTGTGAATTTTAATGAAATTCGTAGTGACACTTATGCAATGCAACTCGGTATATAAAATTGAATTGGTGGGTGAAATTACCCCAAATATTACGCACGTTTTCTTTCTCTATACCTTTGATAAGAGATTCAAATGCCACATAGACATTATTAGCTACAGCATACCAATGCTTCTGTTCTTTTCTATTTTGATTTGTGTTCTCTTTGCCGTTTTCGAGCCGTTTTCAATTTTCGATTTTTCAAAATGGTAAAAACACATTCTCCTCTAGTTTTCAAATTTTTTTTCGAATTTTCAAAAACGAAAAAAATTGTGAAGAAAACACAGTTGTTTTGGACGTTTTCAGTACAAAACTCGAAAAAATTGAAAACACGGGAAATGGCCTCAAAATGACAAAAAGAATGCATTTTCAAGAATTTCAAAACAAGCACTCAAAATACAAAATGAATTCAAAACTCAAAAATATAAAACTGAAACACGAATAGAATAGCCCTTACATTTTCTCGTTCGAAAGAAATTTTGTCTGTACGTGGGATAGATCATATCACTCGTTCTCCTCCAATTCTGTGTTGGGTTTTAGAGAGATGGCAACATTGAGTATTCCGCCAGTGTTAACTTCGCCTCGTGATGATCCTGTGAAGCTACACAAAGCTTTTAAGGGTACTTTTCTTAATATTTTCTTACATTTCCCGTCGTTATTTTTTATTTATTTATTTATTTTTTAATGATTCGAAAAATGAAATTGTTCTCTCTTTCGTGATCACCTAAAAAAAATTGGTATTGTTTTCTTAATTTCACAATTTAGATGTTTTTTTATTATTTTGAATTGACCACCTCGTGTTTGTGTGAGTTTCTGCGCTTTTCTGAGAATGGAAAAAGTTTAATATTTTAATTGGATAATCGATCTTAGAATTTGATACCATTATAAGTTTTCTACAAAATAAAAGCACAAATTTTCTCTGCTTCTCTGCAAAGCGACATAATTTCTTAACAAAAGAATAAGGGGGTGTTTGAGCGACATTATTTTGGTAACAATGCATTCTTGAATAGTGTATTGATGGGAAATGTGTGGTTAAAAAATAAAGAAAAAATTTTGATCTGCGTGTAATATTATTTTATTGAAGAATTTGTGGTTGAAATGATATCAAATCATTGTTTAAGAATGTATTTTTTTGGAATAATGTGGCTGAAACAGGCCCTAAATTTAAACTAACCATTGTAGGAACAATTTTTACATAACACTTGATTAATGATATTTTGGATTTCGTTTCTCTATTCATATGTGAATTTCCTCAATAAGCTTCCATCACTCAGATTTCTTTCAGTTTTCTGAATTGCCTATGATTTAAATTGTATATCCTGACCTGCATTTGATTGCTACGAGCCTCTAAACTCTTGTTTTTAAGGTTTTTGATGTGATATTGCAACAGTGGTTCATATCATTGCCTATCAATAGCTTCAGAACTTGACGGTGATGTCAAGGTACTAAAGATATATAGCAATGATATTGTCACTCTGTATGATAATCTTCAATCTTTTCTTTGCAGGATTGACACATCTAATCGTAAATGGAATATATGAAAATCTTTTAGACATATTTCAGTTGAAGAAATCTATTTTTTACTTGTGTATAGGATAGTCAGGTGTATAATTGTTACCCCCAAATGATTTCAGAGGCGGTCTTGCTTTGGATGCCTGATCCAGCATCAAGGGATGCTACAATTGTTAGGAATGCTTTGAGTGGGGACAAAATTGATCTTAAAGCTGCTATTGAAGTAATTTGTTCACTTACTCCATCCTAGATACAACACTTTAAACAAATTTACTATGCATGGTTTCATGCTTATGTTGAGCATGATATTGAAAATCAAGCATCTGGTAAACACTAAAAGGCTCTCTCTCTCTCTCACACACACACACACACAAGCACGAACCAGTTTTTGTGTTTTACAAACATTTCGATCCCTTAAAGTCCAGTTCGGGAAAATTCCATACTTTTTATAAGTAATCTAAAACTTCATATTTTAGTTGATGCTAGATTCTTCTAATGAGATATGCTTTATATGTGAATTTCCTCAATAAATTTCCATCACTCAGATTTCTTTCAGTTATCTGAATTGTTATTATACAAGAATTGTCTGGGATTTAAATTGTTTATCCTGGCCTAAATTTGATTGCTGCAGCCTCTAAACTCTTATTTTTAAGGTTTTGGATGTGATACTGCAACGGTGGTTCATATCCTTGCCCATCGAGATGCAACACAGCGTGCGTTCATTGAACAAGAATATAGAGCTATGTATTCTGAAGAACTTAGGGAACGCCTACCTTCAGAACTTGGCAGTGATGTCAAGGTACTAAAGATATATAGCAATGATATTGTCCCTCTTTATGATAATCTTCAATCTTCTCTTGGCGAGATTGACACGTCTGATCGTAAATGGAATATGTGAAAATCTTTTGGACATAAGAAATCTATTTTTTACTTGTGTGTAGAATAGTCTGGTGTATAATTGTTACCCCCAAATGATTTCAAAAGGCAATCTTACTTTGGATGCCTGATCCAACATCAAGGGATGCTGCAATTTTTAGGAATGCCTTGAGTGGGGATAAAATTGATCTTAAAGCTGCTACTGAAGTAATTCGTTTACAGACTCCATCCCAGATACAACAGTTTAAACAAATTTACTATGCGTGGTTTCATGCTTACCTTGAGCATGATATTGAAAATCAAGCATCTGGTGATCACAAAAAGGTTCTCTCTCTCTCTCTCTCTCTCACACACACACATAAAGCACGAACCAGTTTTGATATTTTACTAACATTTCGATCCCTTAAAAGTCATGTTCTGGAAAATTCCCTGTTTTTCATAAGTAATCTAAAACTGCATGTTTTGGTTGATGCTAGATTCTTCTAATGAGATATGCTTTACCATAACACAAGTTTGTGACCTTTTATTTGGCTCATGTGACATGTTGATTACTTCGTTAAGACTTGAATTTGTTAGATTGAAAGGAGCTTCATGGTGCCAGTAGGTAATGTTGTTAAGGAATTGTATTTCCATTTGGCCGGAGATTGTTACATATAAATTTCACTTAAAGATCAATGTCCTCCCTTCAGAAAGATCTTAAATTGCTAAGATTAGATAAACAGGACCAGATAGTTCAACTAAATTCAAAACTAGAATTTTCCAGATGGTACAGCTAAACTAGATCTGTGCCACCAAAATGAGCATATTTTGTGCATTCTATGATGGTTATATTGTGCCATATAATATGTATAGTAGAAACGATCTCCTCGTGGGTCTATTTGCAGAGTACTTCACAAATCACAGTACAGTATCCCTCCACCTATTCTTTTTATCGAAATCTGTTAGGACTTGTGCTGAGCCTAGGAAAGTAAGGAAGTTTGAGTCGAACACACGGAAAATAGTAAAGAAATAGACAACTAAAAAGACACAAGATTTTCTTAGGGGAGGAAAACCACAATCGTAGAAGAACACAAAATGCGATATATTTATCAAACTCAACAAAATCAACCCCTAAAATTAGCTTGTCAAAGACATAACTTTTGTAGAACTGGTAGTTATCTGAATCCTATAATAGCATGAACTATGAGAAATTATCAAAATTCGAGAAAATTTTTTATGAGAGTTTGAAGGCCGATGGGTTGCAAAAAGAATAAGATCAAACTCACACTGGTGAACGGTCCTCCTGTGCATATGGTCCTGAAATGCAAAAATAACTTTTAGAAGACAATTTGTGCTTTTTTGGATTTGTTTATAGGTTGCTAAAATAATAAAGTGATGGAAATGAATGATGAATAAGTGGGTCCTCAAAATGTGTGGTTAAGATTAAAGTTTGGCTTTAACATATAAATTATAATGAAACTATGTTTCAAGAATAATACAATTCAAATCCGATGAAAGAAAAAGTAATGTAGAATCCTATATAGACTAAAAGATGGATTCCAATTTGAGAGGGAATGTAGTTCACTTTCAAAAAAATTGACCTTAATGCTAGAACCAATCATAAATGAGAAAGCATAACTTGAAATCATAATTCGACTCAATTAATACGTAATAATCCTATTATAAATTTATTTTAGCACCACCTGTATATTCTAATTGTATCATTCTTCAAGCATTCTATTTCATCTCTATTTTGTAGTTGTTGCTTGCTTGCGTTAGTACAATACGCCATAAAGGTCCAGAAGTTGACTGGGTAATGGCAGAGTTCGATGCTAAATCTCTTTATAGAGCTAGGAAAAAGGAGTTGGGGACTGACGAGAAGATTTTCTTACGCATTTTCTCCGAAAGAAGCAGGCCACAGTTAGCTGCTATTTCTTCTGCTTATCATAGAAAGTATGGCAGATCATTGAAAAAAGGTATACTGCTTTTGTCATTTTGCTTAAGCCTTTCTATGTCCGTTCACTAAATAATTCATCTTGTTGCAGGCAGTAAAAAGTGAAACCTCCGGACGCTTTAAGTTTGCCCTTTTGACTATTTTAAGGTGTGCTGAAAACCCTGGGAAGTACTTTGCTAAGGTAAATATTACATCTATCAACAACATTGTCTCAAAAAGAACATATTTTATTTCCCATAATTTCAATCTTGTGTACTTGTAATTCTCTTTTAGCGTTTGATTTTTTGTTCTTTCTTTGTTTTCTCAGTTTGAATGCATTTAGAGGAAAAACTAGACACCTTTAAAATGCTAACTATCGTCACACTTAACATTACCACGATTCTCTATAACTTAACTCAGGTACTACACAAGGCAATGAAGGGCATGGGAACTGATGATACAACACTTACTAGAGTAATAGTGACCCGAGCAAAGATTGATAGACATTACATAAAATTTGAGTACGAAAAGAAACACGGAAAATATTTGATTGATGCAGTTCATTTAGAAACATCAAGCCATTACAGAATATTTCCTCTCTCTCTATTGGGTGCAGTTCACCCTAAATGAAGTGTGGAAAAGGTTAGAACATGAATGACCTCTACTTGTTATGTTTTCAGTTTGCTTTCGCTTCAGCAAAATTTCTAAATGTAATTGATTTTGTTTTTGTGTTAATCTGTTTAGCGTGGGACTGTAATTTGGAATGTTATTGTAGGGTGACAAGCTAGTGATTGAATGACAATAATGTACCAAAATTGTTTGTTATTTCCCATTTGTTTTTCTATTTGGAAAACTTTCAAATGATGGTTTATTTATTTCTACTTAAATGCCTCTTTTTAGGTTGATATGCTTTTTTTCCAAGTGTGTGCTAGTTTCTTATTAAAGGCAAAATCAATTCAACTAAGCCCTCGTTTAGCTCCCATTATTTCAAATTATAATTTTCTTTCTCTTATTTTCAATCACACAAGCTTCTATAAAATAATATTACACGTGAATCTTGAACTTTTCTTTCCTTTTCACACACATTCTTTAAAAAATAATATTCTAAAAATTATAAATTAAAATAATGGGGGCCAAACGAGGGCTAACTTGTGACAGCGATCAAGGTGGTCGAGACTTTAGGAGGAAAATTAGTGTTTTAAAAATTAGGCTGGCATTGAAAAGAAAAGATCAAGAACCTCAATAGCTAATGGGTTGAAATGAAACTAAACTTGGGTCGAAGTGTGGTTAAAAAATAAAAAGTTAAAGTGGAAATTACATAATTTCATACTTTAAAAATTCACAATTCTAAAATAAGAAGAGCCGTTTAATCTTTCAAAAATCAGAAATTTTATTTTAATTAATATTTTTTAAAATATAAATTTTTACTAAATATATATACTCCATTATACACAAACCTTAATTAATTTCCAAAATTCTCTCTCTCTCTTTCTCTCTCTACATTTCTCTCTCGCCTCACACACTCTCTACATTTCTCTCTCATCTCGTCTCTCAACCACCGACTATCAACAGGGGGAAATAAAAAGTGAATCGTCGGCGCCAGAGTGAAGCCAATTGAAGCAATGTCGCCCTCACCACTCTCTACTCCAACAACTCTCCCTCTCCTCTTCTCTCCTATTTCTGCAGCAGATCCACAGTGAGTTGTGTGGTGGCGGCTGTGGTTTGTTTGAAGTGTTGTAGTGGGTTGTTTGAGGTGTTGCAATGGTGTATGATCTGGCTGTAGTTGTGTGTGAGTGTCGCCGAAAGCTTACAGAGCGCAATGGTGCGGCTGCAGATCGTGGGGTTGACGGTGCAGATCGTGGCAGTGATGGCGCAGATTGTGGCTATAGCGGTGTAGATCGTGGTGTTGATTTTTTTTTTTGTTGCTGGATGCGGTGTAGGCGGTGGATGCATGGTGTTGGTGGCGACAACGACGGCGTCGGTCGAATGGATCAATAGTGTCTATGACCAATAAGTTGTTTGACTCAATTGTGGTGGTGAATGCGGTGGTTGTGGAAATGGGTGACGTTGGCTGTGTTGGTTGTGGCGTTTACGGTGGCAATTTAAGGAAATGGGTGGATGTGATTTGGGGTGGGTTTTGCTCGATGCGGTGGCAACGATGATGGTGGTGCTGAAAATTGTAATTGTGCCTGTGACTCTCAATTGTGACTCGTAATTGGATATGCGACCTGAAAATTTTGCCTGTGACTCACAATTGATTAAGTTGTGATCGAAAAATTAATCGTGACCAATTAATTCAATAATTTGCATTGAGTAAATGAATTGTGATCAATAAAAGTTTTGAATATGCGACCGATGAATAATCTATGACCTGTAAAATTTTTGGATTCATGATCGAAAAATATTCTGTGACCTATAAAATTTTCGATCTGTGACCGAGAAATAAGTTACGACTAATAATTTGAGAAGTTGTGACTAAAAATTAATCTGTAACTAATTAATTAGATAACTGTGACCTAAATATATTAAATTAATTAAATAATTAAATCATAAATATATTTTAATAAAAAACTGATTTTTGAATTTTGAAACTTGTTTTCTTAATTTTGAAATCTACCATACTTAATCTCTCACTTATGAAATTTTTCCATAGTTAAAATATTTAGATGAATAGCTGGATTATATTATTTTTTCCTTTTTTCGGGTTCTACTTTTCCCTTTTTTGATCGGACCCGACATCATCTTGTTGGCTTTGCATATAGAGTTATGCTATATGTACAAAGTTTGTTTACAAAGTAATATCTACACCAATCATTTCAAAAATAAATTTTTAAATTATTAAAAATCAACGACCTGATTTTTACTAACACTTGTATCTTGTCAATCAACTTTATAAATCTACTTTGTACAAATAGCATAATACTTGCATCTAATAATGCAATCTTTAATCAATCCGTGCTTCTGTCACCATTCATATGGCAAAGGAGCATATTCCATCTCTAATGGGTCTTTATATAGAAAGAATATTCCGAGCTAGTGTGTACATCAAAAAGCCCAAAACAAAATCATTTAATGGGGTTCAAAATTAAATTTGGTCTCTAAACTTGTATTGAAATTTCAAATTGGTTCTTAAAATTTATTAGTCGTAATCCAAATTAGTTACTAAAACATTTCAACAATTCAATCTTATTACTTTGTTGGTACATCACATCACAGCTATGTAGTAATGGGTTATGCTAAAGAAATGGGGAGGCTGTCAGCCTTGGTCTCTAAACTTGTATCGAAATTTCAAATTGGTTCTTAAAATTTATTAGTCTTAATCCAAATTAGTTACTAAAACATTTCAACAATTCAATCTTATTACTTTGTTGGTACATCACATCACTGCTATGCAATGTTTTAAAAGGCGTGCCTAGGAGCGACGCGCATTGAAAACACCAAGCAAAGGGGGATAAGCGCTTAATTTAGCAGTCGACGAAAGATAATTCATGCCTTGGCGCGCATAATTGCTCCAAGGTGTGTATTACCCGTTTTTTTAACCACATTACCGACAAGGAGGATTTTGTATCAGAGGACACAGAGGACGAATTAGATAAAGATGATGATATTGAATGGAGTCTGATAAAGAGTTGGATAGGATTTAAGTTCTTATTCTATATTTGTTTAAATTTGGAACTTATCTTTTGTTATAAAATTTGAAAAAAAAAAAGTATAAAGTTCCTATAAATCTGTTTTGGATGTTTAGTACGTATAATTAATAATTATTATATAATTTTTTTGATTAAAATTTTAAAATATTATTAAAATAAGCAAAACATTTTTTAATATTTTTTTTTACGCATTTGCCTCACCTAATCTCGCCTACTCCTTAGCTTGGGGTCAACGCATTGCCACCCATTACGCCTTTTAGAACACCACTGCTATGTAGTAATGGGTTATGCTAAAGGAAGAAAATATTTTGAATCTACGCATAATAATATTTTATTAAGAAAAGTAGATTATAATTTTAAAGGGAGCCAAAAAGGGGCTTAATTCCATTAAGTGCAACCTTAGTTTGTGCTATAACAATAATTGACAGAATTTATTTCACTTCCAGTTGATTTTATGACTTATTATAATTTTAATATTTGACATGGATCAAAAGGAGCTTCACAATTTCATTATCTCATTTTTACATAGATTAAGGCATGTTTAGCAATGAAACTAGCATCCAATAAGTACGCAATGACTAACAACATGTAGGTAGGTTTTCATGTAAAATTCACTAAAAGACTAGCCAAATTTGGACTTAGCAAACTTTAGTGACTAATCTAGAACAAAATAAATGTGAAGGACCAAATTGAGATTTTATTACAACTTTAGGGACCAAACCTATATTTAAGAGAGTGTTATCTCTAGACTGAGGCAACGCAACTAGACAAGCCTACCCTGTTCTACGAACTATGCTTATATAAGACAAGAGCCTCAACAAGGAAGCTGCCTTCATATCTTTTCATTTTTTCTCTAGGAATTCTCCGTCCTCCCTTCGACACTGTACATCCTATCGAGCCAACTAATCTCAATCTGATCGATCCGATGGCTATAAAGAATGACCTATTCATATTTATTTGTATGATCATAGGAACAATTTTCATTATCTATGGAAATGCCGAGCTACAAAGATTTGAACATCCGACAAAAGCAAATGGCTCCCTTAATATATTGGTGGTCGAAGATTGGGGAAGAAAGGAACTTATAATCAACCTCGAGTTGCATACCTGGTATAATATAATATAGTGAGTTATCTCCGTGTGTTTCATAAGTTACCTATTTTTTTTACTTCTACGTTAAATGCCTTCCACTACTGATTTTCGCAATTTATGAATTATAAGGTGATGATTTTTCAAAATTTTATATTTCAAAAATATTGGTAATGGTATTCTTGTTTCTTCATCCAGAAGAATCATATTCTTAGCCGAAAGACATATAAATTAGATTTCTTGTAGAAATACAAAAAAAGGAGGTGGCAATAGGTCAAGTCGAGCAGGCTTGACCCAACGAATCACGACTCTGCTCGACTTGACCCAACGAATCACTCATATCAAAATGAGCTTGATCCGTTCATAGACCAAGTCGGGATGAACTAAGTGACTCCACTCGTTTTCCCACCCCTACCCAAAACTAGCGTATTCTAATGCAATGCTGGCTACTTTAATTATTTATTTATTTATTGAAAAAAGCAATACGTATAGGGGAGTTTCACATGGATAGCGGTGACATTCTTGTATTGGATGATGAAAAAAATAGATCAATACAATGTTGATTCTTGGCATTTGGCAAAAATAAATTGTGAAACTCCATTGTACTTGCAGCATTGTTCTTATTTAGCCCTATTTGACAACTATAATTTGGGGAAACTATAGTTTTTGATAGTAATTTTTAGGAATATGTAGTTAAAAAGTATGAAATTTTTTTAAATTAATTATATGCAAAATGTTTTATTGTGTAAATGTGATTAAAATAAGTACTTAAAAAGAATTTGAAAATAATAATTGTCAAACAAGGACTTTGTAGCTTGCAATGATTGGCTACTTTGCCTGTAAGCTAAGTTTTGACAGCATAATATATAAATATATCAATGTAGGTTTATTACAAGGGTATAATCTCATGCATATTCCATTTAGGAATTTATTTCTCTTTAAAAGGGATCAAAAGTTATAAGGCCATTTTTTTAGGGGAATTTACAAAAATGTGACGAAAAATGAAAGTTCCAAAAAATTTATCATTTTCACTTTACGTGAGCAAAACTGTCACTTTTTGGGGTGAAAAGTCCAAATTACCTTAATGACACACTTTTAGTAGCATTTAATGCTTGATTTGAAGGAAAAGCGTTGATTTGATGTGATGATTTAATTTCTGTTGACCCCGAACTCAGATCTCATGATAAGTCATTTGCAGGCCCCCACCTTAGGCAGATGTGAGTTCGGTAATAGAATTGAGCTGGGCACACTATCGCTGTAATCTCAAGAGACATCATGATTATCTCCTGTCACGTCACCATCTCAATCATTTACACTTGTAGAGAGTGATGTCATCACCATCCAAAACCACCAATCTGAGGCCTCAAACCTTCAAATCATATATAGGTCATCATTGCCTGAGAAAAAAATTGACACATGGCCACCGGCCTCATCGGCCAATCATAGGAGAATTCTTCGACCCGACTTTCGAGCTCAATCCTGTTCTTGATTTAATGTAATTTTAGTTGTAGTCATGTATAAATAGCTGAGAAATGGTCTTCTTAATGGCAGGGGAATTAAAAAGAAGACACATGATATATGATTTGATCCCCTAAAAAACACATCTAAACCTTTCTCATAATTGGGAAAGATTAACTTTTTTCTTAAAGTTGACTTGAGATTACTATCTATAAATTTTGACATCAACAGTTTGGCACTAAAAGGAGGGCCCTTGTTTTGTGAAAAATAGCCCCATGCAAAAATACGAGTCATGAGTCATAGTTCTAGTGCAAGAAATCAATCTCTTACTCGTCCTTATGAGACGAATACTTCGCCAAGTTTCTCAAGGCGGCACGACCAAAACCAAACAAACAATCCACAAATGACTGCTATGAGGGAAGCTCTAGAAAAGCTGACAAATGGAGTTGGCCGATTGGAACAAAACTAAGCCCACTAGACACTGAGGTGGAATCCCCAATGAGAACAAGGGTTGGATGTCCCCCACCAGGAGGACCCTCAACTTCTCACCGGGAGAACTTTCTAGAAGTCGATCTGACGAAGTCAGGAGCCAGGCCCCTGCAATGGAGCCCGTCGCTAGGAGGACTAGCAGTGTGTTTGATAGGTTGGGAGCACAGGGCTCGCTAACCCGTATGCAAAGACATGCTAAACCCGACCTAAAACGTCCTCTGGAGTAGGCAGAACCCGAAATGAGTGCCCTTAAAAGACGCATAGCTGACCTGGAGGGTAAAAACAAAGATGGAATTGAAAACTACCTCACCAAGTGACATTCCCCTTTCACTGAAGATATCCTTATCGAACTATTGCCTGAAAAATTGAAGATTCCACAGATGATCGCGTACGAAAGAGAGGAGTATCCTCTTAGCCACCTTGATAAGTACACCTCATGGATGAACTATAGAGAGCAAGTGATGTCATCATGTGCCGAGCTTTTTCCCTGACCTTGGGAGATAAAGCTCAAAGATGGTTCAAGAAATTGCATCTGAGGTCAGTAAAAAATTGGAACGACCTAGCCACAGTATTCCTGGCCCAGTTCATGGGCTCTAAAGCTAGGACTACACCCAAGAAGCAGTTAGTGAGCATCAAACAGGGAAACAGAAAATCCCTCAAAAGCTATCTAAGCATATTCAACAAGCAATCCATGCAAGTGTAAAAGATATCTAATGACGCCGCACTCATGGCCGTACTCGCTAGGCTGAGGCCCAGAATGAGATTTTGGTTGTCAGTGCACAAAGATGGACCTAGAACTTACCATGAGCTCCTAAAACAAGCTGAGAAATACATAAGTACTAAGGAGGCAACCTCTAATCAAGAGGAAGCCAAATGTAACCCTGACCCTAGCAACACGGCTAAAGAAAAAAGGTCGGATAGGAATCCTCAACCCGAAAGAAGGAAGGATAGGAGAGAAAGAGATTGTCCTAAGACTCAACCATACAGGTTTCGAGAATATCACCTACTAAAAGCCACCTTAGAAGAAGTATTCATGCAAGCTAGCGAGAAAGAAGCATTTCGCAAGCCAGTGGTCCAGAAGAATGGGCAGGGGAATACTACCAATGGCGATACTGTCGATATCATAGGCTAGTAGGACATGACACAGATAGTTACTGGGAGTTGAAAGAAGAAGTTTAGTCCTTAGTTCACAGAGGATGGTTGCAAGAGTTCGTTGTCAAACCAAAAGAGGTAGATCGACCTCAACTACGACAGCCTCCGCAGCAGGGGCCTGTTGCATGAACACAGTAGGCAGCCCTTAACCATAATCCGTCCCCACAAGTTGAGATCACAATGATGGCTGGAGGAAATAAGTATATTGAAGGGTCTAGAAGGGCAAGACACGGATAAGCTAGGGAAGCATCAATCATGCCGACCTACGAAGAACAGACCCCACAGATCGGTGCAGATTCTGAATGGTTCTGGTTCACAAAGGAGGATTCCAAAGGGATCTTCCATGATCAGAGTGATGCTCTAGTAATCACCATGGGGTGAAAGTGCATTGGACGCTGGTAGATAACGAAAACTCAGTCGATATACTGTACTCAAGCACTTTAAGAGAGTTGGAAATATCATAACGCTATCTTCAGCCATACCCAAGGAAACTTAGGGGTTCTCTGAAGATCCTATCGAAGCCCGAGGTCAGATTGTCCTCATTATAGAACTGGGTGAAGCTCTTCGCTAAATAAGGATTCTAGCTGATTTTGTAATAGTCGACCTGCCATTCAATTACAATGCCATATTAAGGTAGCGTATATTGCATGAGCTAAAGGCCGCTACGTCAATTTATCACTACTGTATGAAGTTCCCTACTCCCTATAGGACTGAAATTGTGCGATGGGACCAAGCTAAAGCTAGGGCATGCAATATTGACATGTCTAAACCTCAGATCAACATGCTAAGGGGCAGGCCAAATGTACAAGCTGGAAAGCTAGATTAAAGAAGTCCGTTATTTCGGATCTCTCCGAGATCGGCATAACAGAGAAATACCTCAAGAGACCCACGGATGGCCAACTGTCCTTTAACGAAAGAGAAGCTGACCCACACCTTTACCTCGGGGTCTTGGTAGTCTCAGTAACCATGGCAGGAGTAACCATCCCAAAGGTCCTAGTTGACACCGGGAGTACCATCAACATTTTCTTCAGCAATACTCTCAAATGGATAGGTATACGTGCCAACTTCTTGCGACCATATTCTAATATTATCCTGGGATTAAGCGGAGCCTTGACCACGGCTAAAGGATCAATCAAACTCACAGTTGAGGTTGGATGAACACCTCGTCAAATCAAAATGAATTCCAAGTTTGTTATATTCAAAACTCCGTCACCCTTGATATTCAGTTGAAAGTGGCAGTATCCCTCTACCATTATGCAATCAAATTTCCCACACCTCAAGGGATAGGCGATGTCAAAGGAAGTAGGGAACTTGTTGAAAGATGTCAATTGAAAGCCTATACTAGCCATCAATGCACTCCTAGAGGAGTGCATATGGCCGCACATGGGAACCCAAACTCGGTTCACTAAACTTGCACACCAAAATCGAAGAGGAGAATTCATAGAAGAACTAGAAGAAATACCTATGTGTGATGACGACCAATCAAAAGTACTTAAGATTGGGAACGAGTAGCAAAATTTGATCCGAAGTGAATTTGTAAATTTTCTCAGACAGAACCTCGATGTATTTGCTTAAGATCATGAAGACATGAAAGGTATTAGCCCCACAATTGCTTGCCACAGGCTGCATGTTGACCCCGAAGTTCGGCCAAGACAGCAAAAACGTCGTCCATTGAACCCGGACAGGTACGAAGCACTTAACAAAGAGGTGCAGAAACTACTACGCAATGGGTTCAAATGTGAGGCAAAATATCCCAAGTGGATTGTAAACCCGGTTCTCGTAAAGAAACACAATGGAGACTGAAGGATGTGCATAGATTTTACTAACTTGAACAAAGCATACCCTAAAGATAGCTTCCCCTTACCAAGAATAGATCAAATGGTGGATGCCACTGCTGGACATGAACTACTCAGCTTTATGGATGCATACTCTGAATACAACTAGATAACGATGTGAAGCCTGGATCGGGAGCATATCTTGTTTGTCACCGATCGAGGTCTTTACTATTATAGAGTAATGCCGTTTCGCCTTAAAAATGCAGGAGCCACTTATCAGCGGATTGTGAACTCTATGTTCTCCCAATAGATCGGAAAAATAATGAAAGTCTATGTAGTTGGTCAAAAGAACCTATGCCAAAGACCATCGCCAGCATCTAACAGAAATGTTTGATATCCTAAGAAAGTAAGGGATGAAGCTGAATCCAAGAAAATGCACCTTCGGAGTTAGCTCGAGAGAATTCTTGGGCTACATGGTGAACAGCCTGGGAATCGAGGCAAACTTGGAAGAGATACAAGTTATCATCAACATAAAAGCCCCAGCTAGACCAAAGGAAGTCCAGATTTGACGGAAAGAATTGCCTCCCCCAGTCGATTCATATCCAAGTCTACAGATCGGTGCAAACCTTTATTCAATACTCTAAGGGGAGGAAAGAAGTTTGAATGGACCTCAGAATGCCAAGACGTTTTCAACAAACTAAAGAGACGGCTAGCTCAACCCCCCGTGCTCTCGAAGTCGAAGGGGGCCGATACCTTAAAACTATATTTAGCTGTTATAGAACACACCATCAGTGCCGTCCTAATTCTGAAAGAGGACAGAACACAGTACTCTATTTACTACACAAGTAAGGCACTCCATGATGCTGAGATCCGTTATTCTCCACTAGAAAAACTAGTGTTATGCGTTGGTTGTGGCAGCCCGAAAACTGAGGCCCTACTTTTTGGAGTACTCTATAGAGGTCCTCACCAATTCACCACTGAGGCAAACCCTACAAAAGCTAGACACATCCGGAAGGATGGTCAAATGGGCAGTAGAGTTTGAACAATTCGACATAAGATACAGGCCCTGCACCTTGATTAAAGGTTAAGACCTCACAGACTTCATTGCGGAATTCAGCAATGAACCCAGAAAGGAATCAACACCAGAGGCCCTTGGGAACGCTTTGTTGATAGCTCATCAATCAAAAATAGGTCGGTTTAGGAGTTGTCTTAATTAGTCTGGATCGACGACTATTTTGTGAAGCCCTACCTTTTGACTTTAGGGCTTCAAATAACGAAGCCAATTACAAAGCTCTCATTGGCGAAATAAGGATGGTAGTTAGGTTGGTGATAAGATATAAAATGTCATGTTTTACATCCTTTAATATTTGCATTTTTATGATTAATTAACATCCAAATGTACTGAGTACCCTTATATTTTTTTTTAGGTTGCAATTGGATGATTATGACATAAATTAGAGGAAAATAGCAAAAAAGGACCAAAGTGAATTAAATCAAAAGTTCAAGGTCAAATATCCAAAAGTTGAACCGAAAGGCAAAATGAAGGAGTGAAAGATTTGAAGGTCAATTGATGGAAGACTTAAAGTGTTGGAAGAAGGAAAATAAGAAAAAAAAGGCCAAGAAAAGAGAAGATGAAAGCTCGGGGACCAATTCGCAAATAATCTCTAGATGAGACGAGCAATGGAATGAAGATTCAAGAGTGTTAGAG